GGATCACCCGCACGAGCCAGGAGGTGAGGCTGATGAGCCTAACGATGAGGGAGGCCCGGAAAGAAAGGACACGAAACCGGGCCTTCTTGGCGGTGGCTCCTCGCCTCTAGAACAATCTCCCTCCCGAGATCCGCGTAGCCCCCACTTTGGACACTTTTAAAAGTCAATTAAAAACATGGCTATACATTCAGGCCTTCCCTCCAGTTAATATCTGACTTTTCTGTTTATTCTCTCCTTATATATTTTCTATTCTATTGTTGTATTCTGTTTATTACAATATGATTTATGTAATTGTTTGTGTTTTTTGTATTATTTCACTGTTTTTACTATATTGGAAGCCGCCTAGAGTGGTCTTTTAGACCAGATGGGCGGGGTATAAACAAACAAACAAACAAACAAATAAATAAATAAATAAATATGGCTTTGTTCTGAGTCTTCGTTAATTTTTGGTGAATTTCCCCCCCATTGGAATGCATTGAACTGTAGGTTTGACAGCTGTTTTTGAACATTTTAAGACACTTTAAAAATAGCAAAAACGGACCTGTCAAAACCATTGCAATGCATTGAATAGGCTTCAATGCATTCCAGTGGGGGAAACATTGTTTCGCTTAGTGATGTTTCCTATGGCGATTTTCGCTTAAGGACGGTAATCCGTTCCTATGGGAAATGGTGTTTTGCTTAGCGATGTTTTCTCATAGTGATGTTTTTTTGGCAAACAATTAACATCGTTAAGCGAGGCACCACTGTATCTCAATATTTTCTCCAAAGCTTCTTACAAATACAGTGGTGCCTCGCTTAGCGATTGCTTCGTTTAACAATGTAATCACTTAACGATTAGTTTTCCAGAGCGATCTTGCGCTCCGTTTAACAATGTTTCCTATGGGAGATTTTTGCATAGCGATGTTTGGGACCTTGCTACGCATAGTGATGACAGTTTGGGTCTCCCTGTTTCGCTTAACGATGGTTTTGACAGCCTCATGTTGGCCGTCTTTTAAATGTTTAAAAATGTTTTTAAAAGGTTTAGAATGCTTGGAATCATAAGTGCGCTTAATAAACCCTTTGTTAAACTAATTTGACTTTGTTCTGACTCTTTTTGAATTTGTTGTAATTTTTTCCCCCATTGAAATGCATTGAATAGGTTTCAATGCATTTCAATTGGGGAACCATGTTTCGCTTAGTGATGTTTCCTATGGCGATTTTCGCTTAAGGACGGCAATCCGTTCCCATTGGAACAGATTATCCGGTTTTCAATGCATCTCTATGGGAAAACGTGTTTCACTTAGCGATGTTTTCCCATAGCGATGTGTTTTTTGGCACCAATTAAAATCGTTAAGCGAGGCACCACTGTACAATGGAAAATTTAACATATTTTAAAGTTAGAAGTAGTAATTTTCAAGCTCTGCTTTTTTTTACTCTAAAGAAATCACTTCTTTATAGTGTCTGCAAAAAGTAAAAAAAAAGCCTCCTTTCATCATGGCCCCTTATCTTTTACTTCCCATGCACAGGAAAAGAAAACAAGGAGACAGGGGCATGTACAACATATAAGGAAGGAAATAAAATCCAAATGCAAAAATAGGTGATACCTTTACTTTACTTATACGGAAGGAATCATGCAGACAGGCATCCAAAATGGTCATACATCTATTTAGTCTGACAGAATTTTCATTGAAAACAAGTTTCAGGGCTCAAACTATGTCTGTATATTGGCTAGCTGTTACTCCACTGACAATATACTGAGAGGTCCTTGGTAATGCAAGTGTGCTTACCAGGCTGTTGTCAGGAAAAAAAAACACTACCTCAATTTATAACTGATTCCTATATTAGCAGAAGTTTGGAGCAGATGACCAATTGAGGCCTTTCCAACTATATGCTTATGATTTCTGTGATAATGGTGAAATGCTTTAATCTTGTTTTTATAAACTAACATGAAATCGCTGTTTAAGACTCCAGCAAATATACAAAATAAAAAACTAAACTTCTGAAAATGAATACTATGACACACTATTGTAAAAAACTATTCATGAATTCTAGCAAGGAAAAAAGACTCCTAAGTGTGCCATTTCAGAGGAAAACAAAAACAGTTAATGGTTTTCTAAAGTTAAATTTATATGTTTACAAAGAATCCTGATTTCATCTCAGTTCACTTGGATCAGGTATTTTAAATTTTACTAGTTTTTGTCTTTCTTTTCTTAAATAAAGAACACTATATCTCACCCCTTTCAATATCCAATAAGACAGGCATTTTTTTCATTTCTTCCATGAGTTTAGGACTGTGTCAGTGTAGGTATAAAAGCTTACACCAAAGTTAATGGGGATACCACATAAGACAGGCTTAGGCTTTTGATTTAAAAGTGCTTCTACAAGTGCATGCCTGTCCAATATCAGTCATAATTCATTGAGTAATACTATCAATCACGCCACTCAAATTCAGTCCACATACGAAATTGTTTAATGTAGCAAAACTTACGAAACTTGCAAGGCTGAATTAATTTCCTTGAGCAGCTCTTGGGTCTTATTAAAATCTGCCAGCATGCCTTGTTTCTCTCTGATGTGGTCTGCTGTCATGACATCCAGCTCTTTCTCATGTTTCTTGTTTAAATCTTGTTCATACAGCCTGTTTAATTTATTTTACGTTAAAAAAAGTTATTCTTACATCAATCAGATTTGTTCATCTTGATTACCTGCCATTTTGTAAAGGCTTTGTGCTCATCATAATTTACAAAACCTACAAAATCTAAATCTGCTGTGTGCACTTCTTTACTCTTCTAGCTTATTTTACTAAACAGTCATCTCCTTTAATGCTTTATCAACAAGCATGTTAAATGCATATACAATATACGGAAGGCCACTTTAATTGAAACCAATTGGGTTTAGGTTATAGCTCACTAACAGCCATGTCTAAACTTTGCAGATTGCAATGCCATGTGAATAGATAGAACAAATCTTAAGCTGCACTGTTGCACTGGACATCACATAGGTTGTTATGGGTGCAACTGGCTGAATCTGACAGCCTAAACTACTTTACCCAAGTGTCAAAAAAATCAACTATTGTCTTTCATTGAATTTAGGTTGTTGAATTAATTAAACATATTACCTGACATCACAAATACTCATACCTAATCTGTTGGTTGGATTCACTGCGTATTCTAAGAACCTCTTTTCCTTTGAACTCCAGTTCCTTTGTTAGTGTACTTATGTTCTCATGCAAAGCAAGTATCTCCTTATCCAGTTCTGATATATGGTGATCTCGATGCCTCAGTTCATCCTGCAGATCTGATACCCGGCACATGAAGTCTTTTTCCTATTAAGTAAGCATCAACCATCAAAAATATCTTTAAACATTTCAGTGCAGCATACTCACCCTCACTTCAATAAACACAGTATTCCTGTTTTTATATTTCTACTTGCCCAGTAATTCAATAATGTTTCGAAAGCATACAAATGGGAACAATAGCAGACTAGGAGAAGCAAAAATTTGGGGCATGAATTTGCACTTAGAGACAAAGCTATAACTCCCTTTTTCACCTAATATACCTCTTCTACTTTGTTTGCATGGAACCAGTTCCCTCATCCTCCCTGGTCATTCCAAGGGATGAACAAGGAAGCATCTACTACAGATATGCCTATACATACACCACCACCGTCTTCTGTCTCATACACTTTAATGTGACCGCTTGTTCTTCATTCACTGCTGGGTTTTATTCTGTTCTTACTGCTTTTTCCTCTTTCCTTTCTCCCTCCTTTATTTCAGTGACTCTTCAATTTTCTTGTTTACTTCCAGCAATGCAATCTTGCTTTGTTGAACATTATTAAAGATTGAGGGAACATCTTTCTAGATAGACACTTGTTCATAATGCAGGGAAATACTCACAGAGCTTATTTCTTACGCAAATAGTTCTGTTTTAGCCATCTGGGAAAGAATCTGCTTCCCCGAGCATGCTTGCACTTCCCATTTTCTTTCCTGCACATACAGTGGTGCCTCGACTTACGAACGTCCCTACTTATGACCATTTTGAGTTAGGACCAGTTCCGGCCGCAAAATTTTGCTTTGATTTGCGGCTGGAGCTTCCAGTTACAAAGAGCAAAAAGCAGGGGGAAAAGGCGGGAAATTCAAATTTCTAACTGTAGGTGGTGACGAAGCTGCTTCTTTGTAGCTCTTTTGCCCCAGCAGTTAGAGAGTGTGTGATCAAAGAAGACTGCCTGGTAAGGTAAGTTACTGTTTCCTGCTTTTAAAAATCTGTTCTCTGTGTTTTTGCAGTGTGGTTTTGGGCTGGGGGGTTATGTTTCTGCATTGTGATGGGTCTTGGGGGGTTTGTTAATTTTTTGGTTCCCTCCCCATTTCTGATGGGTCTTGGGGGGATTTCTTGCTTTTTGGAGTGTTTTCCCCCCATTTCACATGGGTCTTGGAGTTCTAGTTGCTTTTTGGGTCTTCCCCCATTTCTTATGGGTCTTGCATGCTTCCCTTCCTTTTTCCTTTGTTCTCTTCGCATTTCCAAACTGCCCCTTTGTTCTCCGTGCATTTCCGACCTGCTCCATTTGTTCTCCATGCATTTCTGATCTGCTCCATTTGTTTTCTGTGCATTTCTGATGGGTCCTGCATGCTTGATTGCTCCCCCCCTTTTCAGCTGGAAAGGATTAATCACATTTCCAATGAGTCTTGCAGTGATTTTTTTTGTGATTTTTTTCCTTCTGCTGGAACAGATTAATTGCATTTCAATGGGAAATGGTGATTCAACTTATGACCATTTCGACTTATGCCCATCTTCCGGAACCAATTAAGTTTGTAAGTCGAGGCACCACTGTACTGCTGTTTTGGATACATAAAGAGAGGTTACTTACCTATAACTCTGATTCTTTGAGTGGTCATCTGTGAATTCACACAATTGGGCTATACTGAACCCGTGCAGAGATTCTCAGAAGCTTCTAGAACTTTTAAGTGTTTGCTAGGACCTCCCTCCCATTGCACGTGCCCTGCCCATGGCATAGAGTGCCTCAGTTCCAGAGAACAGTCCGCCACTGTCCAGCATGTAATAGGCATACATGACGAACAGAGGGGAGGGTGGGCAGGAAGTGTGAATTCACAGATGACCACTCGAAAAACCAGAGTTACAGGTAAGTAATCTCTCTTTTTCGTGGTCTCTGTGAGTGCATACAATTAGGTGACTAGGAAGTTGACTTACCAGGAGGTGTGACATCATGGCAAAGCAGAGGCAAGGACAGCGCGACCAAATGAGGCATCAACCTTGGCTCGGTTATCCAGCTGGTAGTGGGCAGCAAATGTAGAGGGTGTAGCCCAGGTGGTAACTTTACAAACATCCATCAAGTCCACTCCTCTAAGAAATGCTGTGGATGTCACCACAGCTCTGGTGGAATGTGCCTGAACTGGGCCTGGCAAGAGTTCACAGGTAAGGTCATATGCCAGACAAATGGTAGAGACAATCCATTTGGAAATAGTCTGAGAGGTTACTGGAGAACCTTTTGAAGGGTTGTGACAACTGATTAAGAGCCTCTTGGACTTCCAAAAGGAAGTAGTGAGAGAGCCATAGAATGTTGTAGTGACTTTCAAGGAGGATGACTGTACCTGAGATAAGGTCACTTGGGCTCAAGGCGGTCAACTCGATGTCAAAGTCATATGATATGGTCATTTAAATGCCAGGTGGTAACTCTCCTGATCCGATGGGAGCAACCTCTGACAATGCCGGAATGATACCAGAACCGAGGCAAAGTATGCCATTCATCTTCTGAAGAAGAGTATGAAAGGACCTGTGATGGTGCTTAATACCAAGGAGGATATGGCGATATGTAAGAGGAACCAGTAGGATTAAGCATGACAATAACAAGGGTCTGGTTTATATGGTCCTTGATCATAAGAAGCTTCAGGCTCGTAACAGGTTGGTAAGTCGTAAAGATGAACCCTTTTAAAGCAGTGGTGATGGTATGGAGGTTCCTGGACCATAGGCGTGTGATACTGTCATGAGTTCAGCCGAAGATCTGGAATCTGAGGGTTAATTACAGCTGAGGAGAACGCTAGGCAATCAGAATTGCAGGCAGATGAATCACCACCAGATTCTCCTCCCCCAGTAGCCAGAGTGAGGGAGAAGCTTCGGCAAGGACTCATGACACGAAGATCCAAAGCCCGTATGAATGCTTCCCATAGGAACATCAGGTTGACCAGCCCTGAGTATTAGCAGGATGAGGTGTTTAGATGGCTGCTGTTGCTATAAAATCTGCACCCAGACTCTGGCAAGCTTGTGGAAGCAACAAGTCAAATCTCTGGCTCGCATCCACACTCCTGACTACCTTGAACCTTGTTCTCTGGACCATTGGCTTTGGCCTCTGACCCTGGACTATGTTGTGTGATTTGGCTTTGGACCCTGACCTCGGAATACGGTTTGTGATTTGGCTTTGGCATTTTGGTATCGACTCTGCATCCTCTGAACTTCTGATATTGGACTGGCTTATCGGACTTTGCTGTTGAAACCTCCGGGAATGTGACAGATATGGAGCACGAGGCTACCACCATCGGTACCACACTGAGGGTCCATGTGGTGAGACTTGCGGGACCTTTTCTGAGGATAGTCTTCCTGTATTGAGTCTGAGGCCGACACCAATGTATGGTTGAAATGGAGCCACCTTGAGTTCTAGGGCTTGTATGTGCCGAATGCATTACTACAGTGACCTCGGCTGAGGTATTTTCCCAGTCAGGAGATTGACTGAATTGCGGGGAAGGCACAACACCAGACAAGAGGAGAGGAACATCCTCATCCCCTGACAGTGAGTCCAGGCACACCATCTCTTGCTGAAGTTCTTCTGGAAGTGGAGGAGGCAGATCTGGTTTATCCACAAGTGAAGAGGCTTGAGGATGCTTGATTTTGTGGCTTGTGGATGTTGATGACTTCTTTTTCTTCTTAGGCGCATCCAATGATACCGAAGTCATCTTTGGTGTCAACATGGTAGAGTGGGTGGTTGAGGTAGACTTCGACATCAATGCCAAAGGCTTCGGTTTAGATGTCAATTTGGACTTCTCAATAGACTGAGTCAGTCTCGAAGTCACAGAGGTAGACGAGAGCTCTGTATCTTGGGCCTGGTTCAGGTCCATGCATGAGCGCTGGGAAGGTTGTAAAGATTTCTCCCAAAGGAAAGATCGCAGTCGTTGCAGGAGAAGTTTAAGTGCTGGTTTTGTTAAATTTTTGCATGCTAGGACACAAATTAGTCCTAGCAACAAGTGTAAAGGCTCTAGATGTTTCTGAGAATCTCTGCACTGGTGCATTATAACCCAATTGTGTGCATTCACAGAGACCACAAAGAAGAAACGTTTTTTTCTCAGTTGGAAGAGAAAAATGGACAAAAAAATGAGGTTATGCACCTATGAAATATTAACATTTCTAATCAAAAGGTAAACTTCAGAAGTTACCATTCTACTTAGTAGAAAACAAATATTCTGTGCTGAGATAAAATATATTTATGTTCTTTTTTATTATAAAGAACATGTGTACCTGATGCCTGCTGAGCTCTATGCTTCTTTCAAGCTCCATTTTAGCAGCTGCTAATTCTTGTTGATGATTATGCCTTAGTTGATCAATTGCTGCTGCATGCTGATGATTTAGTTCTGAGCGCAAAGAAGCTAGAAGACACAAATAGGATGTTAAAAAAATATACTTCTACAAAACAAATGGAATTCATATCCATTATCATTGTATGTGCATTGCTTTCAAGCAATTAATAAATTTGCTTTCCTGCTATTTTCTACCCTTTAGCAAATGTCATCCTTTATTCTTTGGTACTGCTACGCACAGAGTCCATATGAACATTAAAAACTTGCAGATTTACACTTTCTCCATAACCATATAATTTTATTGCAGTCAATCTGCATGGCTATCCTATTTTCAAAGTATTTTATTCCTGGAAGAATGCTGCCAATTTTGAGTGCTGCATGGTGGCTACATAACTGGCATTTGCAGTATTCACAACAAAGAACACAGCTCCTCTCTCCTAAGGCTATGCTGCTTTCGGACCCTTAAACGTTTTATTTTAGCATCTATTATTTATGTACTTTAAGGCTGAGTGCTCTCCTGGTGTACCACTCAGGCAAGGAAGCCTTGAGGCAGTCCTCTGAAATTGCAATATGTGTATAATGTGTAAAGAAGAAAAGTATACCCATGAAATGACTCTAAAAAGGCTTTATGCTTCTTGATTAACATTTCCACTACAACAGGTTACCTTTGCATTAGCTCTCAGTTTTATCCTACCTGAAAACTTACACCAATGTAAATCTGTCAGTGTAAATTTCAGTGTGGAACTGCATGCATTTACAGTCATGTGCCAATACATGCAACTGGTGAGTTTCTACTTGAAGTTTTAATCTTAAATCGGAATCACATCAAATTTCATTTTTGTTTTGCTCACTGCTATCTTGATACTAATGATGCTTCCCCCAAAACATGGGCTTGCTTCTCCAAGGTGGATTGATGTACCACTATGTATGGGAGCAGTTCTTGGTTGGGGAGCACGTACTGTCTGTCCTCTGCACAAGAACTAATTACTTAAATGTTACATAGTAAAATGGAAGTACAGTACCAAGCATAGCTTTCCCTTCATCTTCCAGTTCAAAGCGAAGGGTCTGTAGTTCCTGTCCCATTTCCAGTTTGAAAGAATCCATGGCTTGCTTGTGAGCGTCTTTCAGTGTCTGAAGTTCTTCTGTGTGTTTTTGTTGTAAACGTTCCTCAAGTTCCTGAGAAATATAAAAAGAAAACCGATCTCTACATGAAAACATTCTAGCCATTACAATTATTTTTAAAAAATATCTAAAGTAGCTTTGTTATTAAATAGCCCACATTTATTTGTTTACTAACTCAATTAATCCAGTTTAGCAGCCAATAGTCTTATTTTTTAATCTCATCACAACAACCTATAATATTCCAGTTTAAAAATTTCCTAACTGCCTTCTGTATGATTTACACAATGAAACTACTATAAATCACACGTATTTAGTTTTGCTGCTTTTCTCAAAAACAAAACAAATGTAGTAATCTTATCTTTTGGGGTATTATTAATTCTAGAAATATGGACTTTCCCCCCCAGTCAGTGACAGAAAACTTTAACCATTTATTTTTGCAAACCTAAAAGCACTTTTACTTCAAGCAATTTTAAGTGTTAGGTTTATTTAGACATATTCTAATCAGCTGTAATAAGAAGACATTGCTTGCCTGTTAAAAAACAACATTTGTAGAGCCACAAGAAAGGGTATGCATGCTCAGAGATGGAGCGAAGATTAAGAATTGTTGCTTGCTTGGTGATACATTATTGCACCTTTTCTGCAAATTATTATGCACATTAGTGTTTTGTGCTCCGAGTGTGGTTACGATGGAGCAGAGAAGGAATACAATTTCATTCTTCATATTTCTAATTCTACCTTAAATGAATACTGATTGTGAAGATGGGGGGAGGGGAAGTGAAGTTTGTTAAAATACAGTAGTGTTGGAAAAAAAAGCTGAGTAGCCTATTTTACAGGACTATATAACATCATCTGTTGCATTTGCATTGAAAGAAAGAAAGAAAATACTGTGTAAACCATATATTGTAAATGTATCAGGAGTCTCAGTCACTGGAGGAGGACTAATTACAGTGGGATCTTGCTACATTAAACTTGAGAAAATTAAAAAAAATCAAGGGACAGAATTAAGTGTAAATCAAATGTAGAGAAATAATGTTTGTAAGTGATGATGACTGTTAGTAATGAATATTAGCATGAAATCTGATCTAGCTTTACCATTCCTTCTAATAGTGAACTGATGGGATGACTGCCAACAGAATTATAATTCAACAGGGCCACTGACAACAAAAAGAGGTACTGTATTAATGTGTTCAAGGGACCTCATAGATTGCAAATATTAAAAATACTTTAGTACAAAAGTTTTATGGTGCAATCTTATGGTCCCCTGGATCCTATCTTTTTCTCCAATAGAACAAGCACTAATTTATACTTCCTATATTATGGGATTCCTGAATCCTTGCAATGGTAGCCCTAAAATATAACCACTCACTTCTACAATTCCCTGGTTTTCAGACAAAACACAGGAAAAGATTACAGACCACAGATGATTTTAGGGTTGTGGTGAAGTCTTAATTCATATTGGAAGAATCATATCTCCAATATCTCCTAATCCCTACCTTTCACTGTCTATTTTTTCCCTGGAACAATGTCTTGCAATATCTTGCTTGTATCACACAGCTTTTGGAGTTCATGGACAAGCAGTTACTTATTCTGGCAAATATTTTGGCTTTTAAAATGAAAATAAAGAAATTTCTTTGAGTAATAGTTGAAAGCAAAGCTCAGGCTTGTCTACTGCTTGTGATTTAGCATGTAATAATGTCTCAAAAGTCCGAATGAACGTGCCTTTTGTTCTTGTTCTTTTGTTTCCTCCATGTTCTGAAATGCAAGAATATGTGCTTCTTTCATGGACCTGTGTCTTTGCTGATGCTCTTCTTGCAGCTCTTCAATTTCTTGAGCCAGTCTCTGTCGCTCTTGACTGAACTGTGCCTGCAGTTGCTGCATTGATGTCTGAGACTGGGAAAGCTGCATTTCTAGATTCTGCTTTAGTAGGGAAATCTAATTTATAGAAAAGCAAAGATCAGTAGAAATGTAAAATTAGAAAAATACATTATGTATTTCATAGGATTTTTTTAAACTGAGAAAATGTATTGCTCCACCCTGTCAAAGAGCAGCTATTCTCCACTGCGTCTAGCAGTTTGTGATTTGGTAGAGGGAGCTGAAAGGGAGCAGGAACACTAGAGGCAAACAGTGCTCATAAAAACTCTTACATTAAAAAAAATCCTCTTTGAATTTTACTCCCTAACATATTTTTAACAGAGATTCAAGTACTGTACATCGTTAACAAACTGGTAAAATGAAACAATAATTTCTAAATAATGATAGAACAACTATTCTTTGCAATCTAGGAAGAACTTCAGCAGCAAATATTTCTGCATGTGATGCCCACCCCTCTGAAAGGTAAGTTCAAAACACAACCAGCTTTTGAGATTTTTGTGTGTTGGGAAAACGGCAACGGTCTAAGGCTATAAGCTTACATTAAATTACCTGAAAGAAAGGCCCACTGAGTTCAAAAAGATTTACTTCTTGGTAGACATGGTGCTCCTAGACTGAAATTGTATACCTACATATTTGGGATTAAGTCCCACTGAACTGAATGGCCAGTAGTATCTTGTTACTTCTGAACCAGATGTGCAATACTCTTCTACACATGGCCCCTCTGTTTTCCCTGCTTGTGCAAGGGGGAATACACTAACCCCTTGCAAAAGCAGAAAGTCCCATTGTTTTCAATGGGATGATCTCAGGCTTGTATACCTGTACCCACTGGAGTGAACACGGTATGTGCTCTGGATATGAAATTGTCAAACTCCATGTTTGTGAGGTGGATTCTGTGCAGTAAGATTTAGTTCTTAGTAGATAAGAAGATTATGCTATAAATTACCTATAATGTACATTCTAAAAGCAGCACTCTATTACTGTTTTCAGTCAACTGGTTATCAGTTTCTTTTTAAACTGTTGTGCTGTGCTAAATAGTCAAAGATATTTTAAAAATCTCATACTTCACAATATTCACAAAATGAGTTTGCAGGAAGTAAAATAAAACAGTCTTTTAGCATGCTTTTATTTATAGCATAGTGTCTCTTGAATAGCTTAGCAGTATATCACATGATCTTTCAGACTGCCCAAGTTCTCTAATAACATCAATGTAATCATTAATATATTCTGTTCTATCCTATTAGGTAAAGGTAAAGGTTCCCCTCTAGGGGGCGGTGCTCATCCCCGTTTCCAAGCCATAGAGCCAGCGTTTTGTCCGAAGACAATCTTCCGTGGTCACATGGCCAGTGCGACTTAGACACGGAACGCTGTTACCTTCCCACCGAGGTGGCCCCTATTTATCTACTTGCATTTGCATGCTTTTGAACCACTAGGTTGGCGGGAGCTGGGACAAGCGACGGGAGCTCACTCCGTCGCGTGGATTTGATCTTACAACTGCTTGGTCTTCTGACCCTGCAGCACAGGCTTCTGCGGTTTAGCCCACAGCGCCTCCACGTCCCTTCTATCCTATTAAAGTGGGATAAATAAATAAATATATAAATATAAGGGTCACAGAACAAAATAGGAAAGTCATAATAACTGTTATAATTAAACTCAACTTTTAAGACTAAGCTGTGTCTACATCAGCATACAAGCAATTAAATAATAAAATACTGTCTTAAACTATGTATTTGTATTTTACATAGATTCAAAAACCAATGAAGAAAATTTCATGTAGAATCCAGCAAGTCAGAAGGTTATTGTGATATTTCCAGTATCATGCATCAAAATTCACTATAAAATGTTAATGTATGCCTTCTCTGCCCTGTAATCCTAACTTTCTTTGGTTAAAATCCTGTTCTGCAACTAACAGCTGATAAAGCAATCAGCAGTGGTGGGTTTTTGGAAATTGTAAATCTCTGATTCCCCCCTCAAAGGTCCAGCGGCTCCCTCACAATCACTTCTGTTGTGGGGAAGCCACTGGGGATGAGGGATGGAAATCTTTCATTTCCAAATATCACTGCCTGTAAAAACCATCCTGGCTGTGGCGATTATCAGAAATTAATTACTGTCTCATCCTATGACTTCCAACAGGTGCCCAATGATGGAAAGGATCTCAAGGGAACTTCAGGACCAAGGTTCCCTCTAATTTTCAGCCCCACTGGGCGGGGCTTTGCCTCGCACATGCATGATGCTGCCCCCACATGGATTTCCACTGCGACAGGAACTAAAGGGGCCGAAAACGACTGCTGCGGGTACATGGAGGATGAGCCCTGTGGGGAGTGGGGAGGGAAGGCATGTGCACACACAGGCATGCACCTTAGAGAAAACTTTGCTCAGGACCTTTGAAGAGAAATCAGAAATTTGTAATTTCCAAAAAATTGCCATGGTGGATTACCTCATAGGCTTATTCAGCTTAACTTCTGTTACTAGGATTTCAGCCATCACATATCTGTGCGAACTAATAAACATGAGTTCATGGCAGGACAATGAAAAGGACATCACATAGCTTATATTTAACTACAGATGACATGTCCAACATTACATACTCACTAAGCTATTCAAGCAAATAGAAAGTGCTATATTCAATAGTCATCCACTATTATAGTATTGAAGTAGTTTTTAAAATTTCATTATGGCAATTAACTCATCTAGAATTAGAATCATTTCGAGTCTTTCAGATTTTTTTGGATAATTCTCAAAACAGTTTAGACTTTTATTTAAGAACATCCCAAAAGTTCAGAAAGACATTACCAAGTGTGTTAGACCAGAACTGGCTACTTTCACATCTGTCATTCTCACTATATGTGTTCCACATTTTGGAACTTCAGGGAATCGACAGTAAAAGACGGCTTACAAAAATAAACACCAATTCCTAAGTTTCTGCTCTCTGCTTTTGGAGAACACATGATCTCTTCATTACCAAAGAGGCATCTGGGAATTTCAGTGTTTAATTCCTTCTACTACATGAAGCAAAATTAATAAAAGGTAATAGTTCCCAGAATTTGCACAGTTTTCACTGTTGACCCTGAATTTACTCAAATATCTTCATAATATTTAATTGTAGATAATTTGCTAGAATAAAAAACTGGACCGCTGCAATTACACATTACAAAGAATATCTGGAAGTGCACACACTCTGTATGCATGTAAACAATGCTGAGCCATTATGAACCAAGATTAAATATGAAAGGAAACTAGGATCATTTTGTAATGGCTTAGATGCCCCTGAACTGGAGAAGTTTGTTTCCAAACACAGATATTTCAAAAATTCTTCTGCATTCCTTAACAGTATTTATTTCAACAAGGGTCCTAAGCCTCGCTATTAATATATTCTACTCTAATCAATATTGACAATGAAGTTGACTTAATGCAGAAGTACAGCAATACTCACTTTTATGTTCTTGTTCTGTAAGCACAACAATTAATGATCCTTTCTTTGGCAATATCACATATTTAGTGTCTAGGTACTCAGTTTGGAGTAGACTTGCGAGTCAGCCCTCCTCTTCTAAATGCCCCTCATGTGCTTCTTATGTAAATTCAATTAAATATTACTCTCAGGGCACATACTGCATATATACAGAATGCATTGCAAACAAACGGTTTAAAAAAAAGAAGCATCACATTCAGATCTATCAGAAGTGGCAAAATTAAGGCGAAAATTATTTATACACAAGACAAACATGCATGACCTAAATTGTCCTATCCAAATTAAAATTTTTTAGAAACTTACTGACTATCCAGCTTTGCAGAAGAGGATAAAACAGCAAGTTCTGTTTCATTATCTGAATTATAGATTATTGAGTTCTTATTATGAAAAAATGTGTGTCTAAATAATGTGTTTTTAGCATCTATATTTTATGATTAGTAATTTATATGTTAACCAGTTAAATAGCATACTAAAAGCTGTACACAATGTCGGTTTTAGTGAGAATTACTGGCTGAATCTAATGTTGATTTTGTCTTAGTATCTTTAGCGGAAAACATTTTGGCTTACACAAGGCAGACTCTAACCCCTCCCTTTCTGCAGCCCTCCATATGATATTCAAATTTGTTTTCTCAATCTGCAGAAGTGTCTTTTTTGAACAGATGGGAGCTAAGTGGGGTGAATGGATAAGAAAAATCTGGGTGCCCCTGCATGGAGGTATGGGAATGCACTGTGCCAAGCTAGTGCTACCTCTGCATACAAGTATCAAGTATTTAATGAAAAGGTAGATTTCCAAAGTGGCATACAGCAAAAGAAATAATACAGATGTGTTAAATATTATCAGCAGCTTGAAGAGTCACTTATTAAACTCCTATTTCCTCCTAGCATTTTGACTGTTTATGAAATCTTTTAAATTTTTCTTCAACTGCCTTCAGCTTAAATAACAGCATATTTAAATTAATCCATTAAAAAAGAAAATATGTAAATAATAACAAATGTTGGTTGCAGTAACTACAGAGCCCTACAGGCTTCTGCGTTTTGAAGTTTTCTACTGTAGCCCAAAATTCACTTGGACTGGCAAGTCAATTTTAACTGAAAAGGCAGCATAGTTGCAGGAAAAAGGTATTTCAGTTGTACATGTATGTGTATACAGACATGCATTTATTCTCCATTTATGCATGAAGCTATCCAGGACTGCAGCTCATGGCTGTATTTTGGCCAATAACAACCACAGGGATACAAAGACTGTAATTCTGTATGCATTTACCTTGAAGTAAGCTCCTTCAAACTCAGTGGGACTTACTTATGAACATATCTCTTGAACTATGCTTAAGAGATTATTTTATTTCCAGATCTGTGCTTCGGCAACTAAACTGACATTCTATACTTGAAACTGTGGCAAAGCTATGGAAGTTTACCTAGAAACTTTTGTCACTGTAGTTTAATACCATAGGAATCTTCTACTGTTTTGATTACAATGTTGCCTGAGGCACTTCAGTATCACTGTATCTATTCTAAACATTGTTTTCAAAATTAACTAGGACCCAAACAACTCCAGATTTGAAAGAAAGGTACTTCTATTTCATGTGCATTCAGC